AAAGCTAAGAAATTGCATAAAACTTCAAGGAAAACAGCCCTTGCTAGCAGAACATGCTTATCAGATTTTCCAACTGTACCACTTGACAAAAATTGACTTAAAACCCTGTAAATTATTTTTAGTCAATTTTTTTGATATTTTTCCTTAACACTAAATATCCTATTCTAACTACTGCAACTAGAATCGCCTCAAAATTCGTATCCAATTGGTGCAGTTTATTCTTGCAATCTGACCCACCCTTGAACTCAAAAACTGACTTTTACATATATCCTTGTATATGAAGCCCGTGGAATTTACGGCTTATCTTTTGTTGTCTGGTATAATTTTATAGAACTCTTAAAAAGTGAACCTTATAGGGACCTAAGCAATATAATCTACTTCTAAGCTACACAATCTTACTAACTTCACTTATATATCTCATATGCAGCTGCATTATGTAGTTTCCTGTGGTCTAAAATTTTGTTCTCTGATTTGGTAAAACATATTGATCTGTAGCAATCTAGCATAGTTTTGTTCTTAGTATCCCTACTAATGATTTTTGATATGCGAGTTGTAATATTACACCCTAATAAGCGTAGGCGGTTTGTTTAGGTTGTTTGAAAATAATGTGAAGATAAAGTATGGATTTTGATCTAAAATAAGGCTAGTCATAATGGCCTACGGCATAATACAAGTATTAAAGCAGGACAGAAAGGGGTAGGAAGCTTTGATTCTCGCTCATTGATCATCACTCACTAAAGAGCTTTATTTTGAAATTATAGCACTCTTCTAGCAAACACAAGCCTAGAAAACACAAGCCTCATTCTAGCTTATTACAAAATCTTTCCCTTCTCAAATTATTGCCTATAAGCTCATCAACAACTCTCTTCCCTACCCTAACCCTTTCCTTTCTGCCTTTTTCGCCTAGTGGACTAACCTTAACAGTGGCTGAAAGTACAGGACGAGCAATAGTCGATGTGCAAGACCCAAGTACCAACTGAGTGTACCCGTTTTCCAGGGCAACCTGCACAACAGGCATCAGATAGCCATCAAAGTGGAAAGTTCAACTAGAGCAATGTACTTTCTGTACATATACACTCTCTCATCAGATATCTGTCAAACCTGTTTCTGAAGGGATATTGGATTGTAGACACCTGTGGATCATTAAAGTTGTCATCAACTAAGCTCTAGCTCCATTTTTACATATTCACTGTCCTAATGCTGTTGGAATATGTATAATTTCCTTAGAAGGGTTTGCACCTGTTGATTTATTATTCATTGTCCTAATATTTAGGTTTGCACCTTTTGACCTGTCTCAAGAAGGGTTTGCACCTGTCCTAATGCTCCATTTTTTCTTTTTTTTTTTTTTGTCTTTGTTTCCTTTCACTTTCGATTTTGCTTCGCGCTTCTTTCATGTTAATTATTAGTTTAATGATCAAATTTAGGGTGCATCAAAAACCACCTCTAATAGAACCTCTTAACAGATTATGTTTATGAAATTTTGTCTACCGTTTACCCAATTGTAGATAGTAGATATAGTCTCATAAGAGGAATCGCGGTGATGTTATATTATGATATTATATGCATATATGGCTTTCTGTTGAGGTTGAGCATATGATATTAGGATCACTGTTCTAATGCTTTAGGTGATTCTAGTTGCTATGTTAATCATGCAGAAAAGTATACGCAACTTGTTGCTAAGAATTTTTAAGTTTATGTTATGTTGTTATTGATTGACTGCTGTCTTATTTATGCGCCCTCTACCATTGCTTGAGGCTATTGGGAGAATAAGTTAAGTGGCCTAATATTGTAATGTCAGGTTCTTGCTGAAAAAGCTTATCTTGTGGGTGTGGAGAAAAAAGGTATTAAAGTGGATTCTTTTGGAATAGAAGAATCTCTGAAAGAATTGGCTCAACTAGCTGACACAGCAGGTCTTCAGGTTGTTGGCTCTACTTATCAAAAGTGAGTATGTCGTGGGTTTTTCTATTGCATAATGTGGTTACGCTATAAGTTGCAATGTGCATATACTTAAGACAGTACAATTAGCTAATTGGAGATTTATATTATCTGTGCATGCCCTAAATCTTCCAGTTAACATGTTATATATCTCTGTCACTCTGTGTGTGACTGTGAAAGTTGGGGAAGGGTTGGAGAATTGAATGGGGGAGTGTCGCTTAAAAAGATAATGTAACTCTTTTAATTAGAGCTTAAGGGGTTTCAGTGAGTTGATTTTGTATCTGTTGTAATTCTTTGCAAGTGAAAAGCACTTGTAACTTAAGGCATGTTATGTGTCATCTGGGAACATGGCCTCCAAAGCAGCTACAAGTCAATTAAAAGCTTTAGTACCTCCGTTTTAACTTGTTAAGATAGAGATTGTTAAACAAAACTCAGATTACTTTACCAAGTGTGTATTGACTTATGAGTTTTTGTCATATAGTTTACATATGTCTTCTATCAAATACATTTCTCCTTTATTTTTGCTTTGTGAGAACTGCTGGTCTGCATGGTAAATAACTTCAACACCTGTTGTATGAATTAGTCTTGCTGCTCCAAATCCAAGAACATATATTGGCTCAGGCAAGGTTTCTGAGATCAAGAGTGCAATTCATGCATTTGATGTTGAAACAGTGATATTTGATGATGACCTCTCACCAGGGTAAGAATGAAACACTTTTTTATTCAGAAACTGACAGTTGGTGTACATGCATTGTCTAGCTACCAACATTTCACTAGTAGAAAATTTGAAATAGGCACCCCCCCTTTAGCACCGGTTCGTATCTGGTTATGAATCTAAATGTCGTATGATATACACATTGAGACTCATAAGTAAAGTTCATTGAAAAAACATATTATTTAGTTACATGAATATACAAAAAAAATATGGGAGACCATGTATGAATTCTATATCCTTTGAAAATAGGGTTGGGCAGAGTATCCACCAGTCTGAGATGGCATAGAAGATTGAAATTGCTTATAGCCTGGCAACAAGGAACATTATGTGATATAACAATTGGCATTGCTAATTTTAACTATTGATTGAATTAGCTCTGTGGGGTAAGTTGTTTGTGTTAGTTCAGAATTTCTCTTGATATTAAACATATGTCTAGCCTGCATCAATCATTTATTTCAGGTCCAGGCGGTTCTGACAGTGAGTCACTAGTAAATAACCGCTTACAGTCTTGGGATTGCTCCAGCCCTTCGTGTATAGCACACACTCTTTTTGGAATGGATATATTTGAACAAATGAATTGCTATAGTTGTCATTTGGAGTCCAGGCATATGAAGTACACTTCTTTTTTTCATCACATTAATGCCAGTGCCCTGCGAACAATGAAGGTATGACTTTTAGAGCGATATATTAGACACTATCAATCATCTTCTCGTCTTATGCTTCATAAGTTCAATAGGGCTTAAACAAATTTTATCTGTCCTTAGGCATATCTTTGGCTTACTACTTGACTCCCTGTTATTTTCAGATATTCTTTTTTTAATTCACCTTCATTAAACAATGTCTTGACTTTTGAGGTTAATATACATGGCTTGATATTGATTAAACGTCTGACTTTGAAATAGGTATTTCTGCTACAATGGAAGTCCGCATAGTGTACTTTGATATCATGAGACCATGAGACCAGCAGAACAGCAGTAGCAGTGCAGAACCAGGACAACAGTACCAATGCAGACAGAAGACACACAGCAGCCAAAAACCTTGGACACTTAAATTTTTTTTTTTTTTTAAAATTTTTTTTTGACACTTTTGGCACCGGTTCTTGCTTTTAACCGATGCCAATAGCATTGAAAAAAAAAAACGCGCCATATTAGTTGGCACCGGTTAACCGGTGCCAAAGCATGTAGTTGGCACCGATTAACCGGTGCCAAATGCTTTAGTTGGCACCGGTTTTGAACCGGTGCCAAATTTTCATGGATTTGGCATCCCTCAAATACCTAACGGTTCAAAATCGGTGCCAAAAGGGGGGTTTGAACCGGTGCCTTTTTATCTTTTTCGTCTAGTGTGTTGCCTGTTGAAAAGTGTCACACAAGTGACCATCGACTGTTCATAGATCTTCAAATGACTTAGGACTTCTGACATTGTGAAGCAACAACCATAAATAATATCTTTCACATTTAGAAGGTCCTGCAAATGCTAACCATCCAATCTGAATTTTTTTTGTTTCTTCTCTTATACCAAAGTTTATCTGATGCATCCCAACGATAGTGTTCAAAAAATTCATTGTACAACCAACCTGTTCCCAAAGCTGATTTACAGTTCATTTTTAAAAAATTTGTTAGACAAGTTCTGGAATGCTTATTATCTGAAACAATTGTCATAAGTTGTTCATGAGGTCTCTTTTGTATCAGCTGTGAGTTAGGCAAATGATCAAGAAGAGGTAAAACTGGAGGATACATTTCATATAAATCAAAACCAAAAAGATGTCATGCAGCCTCACAAGGTGAAACCCATCGACCTGATTGATATTGTTCAATTTCATCCTGCACAGGTGACCCATCTTTTGTCTGAACAATATTGAAAGATATCATATCATGCCCTTTATAAACATATTAATACAGATATTTGACCGCCTCAATAGTACAACAAACTTCAACATTTAAGTGACAATTGAAATATGCTAAAAGATATGGATTATACGGAATCACCCATCTGTTACCCATTTCAACTCTCTGAACTTTAACACTATCACATGTAGCTCTTCTTCGATACAGAGGATATCCATCATTGTTATTTCTTGTTTCATCACAGTTTTGTTTTTGATAACCATACTTGCAATGCCCACGATGCTCTTTATGTTTCACACAGGGGCATTCTGGATTTAAATGACCACATGGACCATGCATCATATGCTTGATCACAATTTCCCTCAAATATGCATTTTCAATAGACGGTATTTCAGCACAAACATATTTATCAAAGTCATTAAAGGACTTGATTTTGAACTCTGAGTTCAATATAATTTGAAAATGAGCATGAGGTAAACCTCTTTTTTGGAATTCAATAACATAAATCATTGCAGCCACTTCTCCAAAAACTTTTTTTTCTTTTGAATTAAATGTTTTAAAGCATGTAACTTTGCTCTGAAAATTCTTGCAATGATATCTGGCCTATTTTGTGCTTCTTCTCCAACAACAAGTTCTTGTTTTATTTCTGGCCAATTGGGATTGCATGTCATTGTTATAAATAAATCAGGCTTGCCAAACCTCTGAACTAATGACATCACATTTAGATATCTCTTCTTAAGATCACGAGGACCACGTATAAATATTGTAGGCAATATGACTCTTTTACCAACATTTGCTGCACAATCTTCTCCACAGTCAATACTATCAAGAAGTCCCTGATAAAGATCAGCCCCAATTGTCTGTTGATTCTTATGGAAAAAATCCAAGCGTATATTTTCTACCTTGACATGCATATCAACGATATATTGTTAAAAACATCTACCAGCGGCTCTGAGTAATAAATTACCCGGTCGACATTGAAGCTTATATGCATAGTATTCTCGAGCTGAAATATGTTTATCTGCCTTAGATGAACCTCCATTTGAACCTACAAGTCCATATTTGTAAAAGGAAAAAAAAACAAATAGTTTAAGCAAGAAAACCATATATATGACATATATAAAACCATATACTTAAAAATAAATAAAAAAATATAGATCCCATACGCCTAGCCTCCTCATCTAACAAATCTTCAGTAGTATGCACACTACAAGAAGAAACCGGATCCGACTGAGACTGTAACTGTTGCATTCCACCCATAGACATTTTCTTAAGACCTTGAGTCCACCCACAATCACCATATGGAAATAGTAATGGATATTGCAAAGGATCATAGCAACCATAATAATGTTTGATTCTATAAGAAGAATCATTTTGACTAGTGACCAGTATCTGTGGGCTCTCAAATTCACTGGAAGAAGTAGTCTCTGGCCAAATAACAACAACCTCGTTTGAAGTAGGAGCATTATAAACACGCTGATCTGGAACCATAGTCTTATGGAACAGAATTTGTGTTGAATCACTAATCGAAACTCCTTTTAATGATCGAAGAATTTGGCATATAGGTTTATACCAGTAAACTCCATTAATATTGCCAAAACATCCTCTCTTAATTCAGGTCAACATCCAAGACGATTAGCCATTTCATGTTGTCCATCATAAAAATAAAGCAACATATATTTTGGCCCTTCATCTCTAGGAACTAAATTAGAAATATAATGATAAATCTGGCCATGTAACTTAAAAACATAGATTCCTTTCTTTGTTTTAGCATCCAAATTTCCACCTAATGAAGTAAAAGCGAACATATTGTTGTATACTCGCACATACGGCCTAAAATGTTTCGCATCTTCATTTGCAGAAGTAAATTACCTCACAAGTTGTGGAGGATACTCATTCACAGCAACTTTGACTTCCCCGTCATCACAACAAAAGTGAAGTTTTTTTCCATACACCTATGAAAGTAAGTAGGTGCAGGAAGCTGAAAAGCCTCATAAGGGATTTTTTTTCCCAATTACTGCATCAGGACCCTCTGTTTGAAATATGAACACTAGAATTTAGCATATTGAGTTTTTTTTTCCCAATTACTGACAAAAATATGTAATACCAAAAAAAGGGCATTGAAATTACTTGTCACTTCAACTCTAGTACGTGTTTTTTTTTTTTTTTTTTTTTTTTAGTTTTACCATTAGATTGTGCCTGTAACCTTTAAAATAGTAATAAAAACACATATTCAGACAAATTTTAACAATGAAAAATAATTACGATAATATAGCACGGTTTTATATATTTTAGTTTGTTTCCAAAGTAATCAGCCTTAAAATACCTTTGCATCTGATCACTACATTCACCTTGCAAATCTTTACAACTTCTAATTTTGTAACTTCTTGATGACGAAGGTTCTTGTAATAATAAACATAAAATTCATAAGCCATGATCCTCAAATCACTTCAATATAAAATTGCTAGAACTGACAAAAATATGTAACACCAAAAATAAGGATACTGAAATTACTTGTCACTTTAAGTCTAATCTTTGAATTTTTTTGAGATACATATCCAACCTGTGCTTCATTACATTGACCTTGCTAACCACTTAGACGTTTAGTTCTGTAACTTTTTGCCGACGAAGGTGCTTGTAATAATCGATCTAGATGATCAGTAATCAACATCAAATTGATTAGCCTTAATCCTTAAACCACTTGAATGTAAATTTTTTAACTTTTCATAATCTAAATCTTTAGATGCACGATAAGACTCACCCATATCCAGCAACACTTTGCAAATTCCACGATACTTTGTCCTTGCAATTCTCGTTATATCAGTTAATTAATCAATTTAGTACACGTAACTCATGATCTAAGACACCTGAATTCCCATAACAGAACATACAGTAAGCTTTTGATCTAAATGAGAATAGGTAACAAACTGCAGGTTATAAAGAAGTTGAAAAAACAAAAGCCAACATGAAATATTTATAATCATATAATATACTAAATCCATTACAACAATTACATAGCCATACATCTAAATCCGAACTCCTATCTATTTGCTAAAAAGAGTTCAATACACAAGCATCACAAAAACTAACAACTACAACATACATTCACAAAACAACAATACATTTTTGATATAGCAGAAACTAACTTAGTTGAAGTTTAAACGAAAAAGCAAAAAAGGCTAGGCAGTATGTAGACAATACTCCTACAACCCCATCTCAAACTAAGAACATCTAGTCTTTTGAAGACCTTATACGCTTGAAACGACCATGTAAATCTTCTGAGCCTGCCACCTCTGGAAACACTTCACTGCCAAAATTAGTAATAGCAGATGATTTTACTACTTGAGACCTTATATCCGTCTTATTGAAAGTTATGACAGGTGGAATAGGCACCGGAACCTGAAACTCCTTCCTAACTGGAGCTATGCAATCTTGTTCTACAAGACCTGTAAAAGGTTTCAACTATTCTTTAACTCCCAACACACGTTCCTTTACACTTAAATAACTCTCCCTCTCCAAAACACATAACACAGCATCAAACCTACAAGTCGTTGCCCTATAATTAACGTTCACTATCTCAAGATTACACGCATCAATGAGATAATCAACAACCTTCCTAGCAAGGTTTTGCTTCGCTGCAATTGGACTTGAACAAAAACACTAAACAGACACTGAAATCCTAAACTATTTCTATGATGAATGACTGTAAACCAAGAAGTATACTGATTAGGAAATTGCTCAATAATTTCAATTGGAGTGCACTTTATATCAACACACTTGAAAATAGCCCTCGACACTTCAAGGAAATCTATAACAATCTTCCTATGATTGTTCACAAATTCAGTAGAAACATCTCCATGAAAACAAACCTTTGACTCTCCGTTCTCAATTTGTTATAGTTCCTCTTTCTTAAAACCATACATCGACCACAACGTTCATACATCTGCTTTTGTAAGGCTGTTACATCCTCAATAGCTATCTTATATATTTTCACGAGATCATACACAACTTTTCTAGCCGCAATTTCACACGATTCCTCTACACTAACCGTATCTCCACCAAGATAAATAGTAGGAACGACACCATTATCACTCCTAACAACCACACAAGCAATGCTCCTACGAACATTGAGATATTGGTATTCCGGATCAAGGAAATTCAAACACCTGGTAATTTGCTTCAATACATGACGAAATGATATCACCACTTGTGTGAGCAGTGCATCCATAACCTATAATTCACGTATAATCAACCAATTTAGACTAAGGTCACCCCAAATCAGACGTAGCTAAAGATAGCAAGTAACTAATACTTCACAGCCAAGTCCACAACAAAAGCCTTAAGTGACAATAGACTAATCTAACAAATGAAACCCTAATTTTTTGCTTCTCTCAAACCATGGAATTTATATTCAAGACATTGTTATACTAAGATCTTAAATATGATAGCAATATAAACTGCATGCAAATAACTAATACTTCACAGCCAAGCCACAACAAAAGCCTCAAGTAACAATAGACAAATCTAACAAATGAAACCTTAATTTTTGCTTCTATCAAACCATGGAATTTGTATTCAAGACATTGTTATGCTAAGATCTTAAATATGATAGCAATATAAACTGCATGCAACAATTAGAGGAATCTAAACCATTTCAAACCCTTATATTCATACCTAGAACAATAGACTCAAATGAAAACTTCCAAACGCTTACATGCATGGCAACTTCCAAACCATAGAATTTATATTCATGACATTGTTATGCTAAGATCCTAAATATGATAGCAATCTAAAGTGCATGCAACAATCAGAGGAATCTAAACCATTTAAAACCCTTATATGCATACCATACAATAATAAACTCAAATCAAGACAAATTAAATCAAACAATTAACAACAAACATTCAACAAATAACTTAATTCGAAAATAATTACATCTTTAAACTCCTTAATTAATGGTCATGTTCATTGTCATGGAAAGGTATCATGCTGATCCAGTTGATACAGGAAAGTTCTTATACATGCACTTGTCATCGTCACAAAATAAATGATTGAAAGTTACCTGAGTTCTTGCATAAACAGAATATTCTCTAAGCTCAAACAAATAAAAACTGTGTGAAAATTAACTCACAATGAAGAACTTTTATAGTCCACATTTTGAAAAATAAAATTCTACTAAAAAAATACTTAACCCACCCAAAAAACACATGCCTTAAAACAGGGAAAAAGCAAAGTATCTCATGCAATTAAACAAAGAAGGCCACGACCCATGCAATTAAGCAAAGTAGCCCACCAGCTCATTATTCTTAACACATAAACCAGAATTTATCCAATAAAGTCAACAAAAGTAATGGCATTTTCGCAATAAGAAATAACAAGGGGGTAAAATGCCTCAAGTCACTATTCCTTTTGAAAATCACTGTTCATTTGCTAATCCGAGTGTTCTTCTGGCTTTTAGGGGTTGGAGATTCATCTAATTCACTATGACTAAGGTTTGTGATTTATACATAAGAATAAATAGTCTTGTGGGTACTTGTTGGAATCATCTCAATGAATAATTAATTATATAACATTCAATTGTTAATTAAGGATATTAAAAGTCAAAGTTTTCTTTGGCATAAGTGCACAAGAGAAACATTTCACTTATTTAATTATGGAAGGAGTACATTATTAAAATATTTAAAAAGTTAATATAATGAAAATATTATAAAGACTAATCTAATTTTAGTTTTCATGGCAACATACATTTTTAAAATATTGGTTAAAAGTATAGTCAAAGTAAGCATGTGAATAGTGCAAAAGTCAAACTGTTGCGATTATTACGAAACAAAAGGAATAACTTAAAACCAATCCAAATCCAAACTAATTCGGCCTAAATTTTACCTAACACAAAATATTTCAAACTGACCTAAAATCAACTCGGCTTGAAATCAACCAACCCAAAGCTAACTCAACCTAAATTCAACCAGATCTAAAACCAAGTCGGCCTGAATTTCACTAAACTTGAAATTAACCTAAATTTAAGTTGGACTAATTTGAAATAAATCAAATCAAAATTGATTCAAATATTTATGACTTTTAGAAATTTACCCCTTACTTACAAGATCAAATTAAATAATAATTACTGTTTTGGGGTTTTTTGATGTCCTGCGGGAGAGTTACAATTCCGGGATTGGGATCCTTGCGCATGTACCTGCAAAACAACGGAGACTCCGTGTGGTGGGAGCTCCGCCTCCGACGATCAAGTTAAAAATACTAGGTTAAATGGTAAACCTAGGACTGATTGGGCTTGCCTCGGGATTCGGGCCCAGTTAGTCGTTTTCCAGGTTGGCAGATAGTGGGCCACGTGGCGTGGCGCTATTGGTCCATGCTGAACCTCTTGGAGCATGACACGTGGCAGTCCCTAATTGGCCCACATGGCTAACACGTGGCAGGATTTGGTTGGACCACGTGGCGGGGAAAGACCCCCTAAACATTTTCCCCTCACAGAG